AGGGCAGTTACCAGAAAAGGCCTACAAGCCCCTTATGGCCGCCTTCTCAGACTACTGTCATTTTTTTCCCCTCAGATCATAACCATCTAACAAATTAAAACAAAAATGAAGTCATGTAAAAATAAAAATAAAATATAAGAAAGAATCCGTGTCATCATACTGACTCTAAACTGTGCTAAAGACAAGACACTTAACTTGGTCTAACAAAGCTACAGGCATTTTGTAATGTATTCAAGGAATCAACAACTCATAAAAATAAGGACATCATAGGCAGGAACATAAAGCCTGCATCATCTCCTCCACAAAGAATTCTTCCCGGATGCCGGGTGCACAGAGCGGATGTTCGGCAGTCATGTGCTGAGGCGGCTGCACAGGCCTGCACGCTCACGTCTGCTTCAGAGGCGCAGGGATGTTGGCAGAGGCCTGCCTGAGGTAGGCCAAGGAGCCCTGCAGGATTTCCGGGGGTGGGGGGGCTTGTGCTGCACATTGATGTCCTCCAGCACCTGCTGCCAATGCCTCAGCTTTGTCAAGTGCTCCTGGACCAGTGTGTCTTTCCGCTGCAGTTCATTCCTTAGTTCTAAGACATCCTCTTTGATAACTTGCTCTGGTTTCTGGACAGACAACTGCAAACTTTTTTGTAGGAAAAAAAATCTCTCTGTCTTGCAATATCCAGAAACTTCTGGATACACTGATCAACACTTGTTCAAATTTCTTCCTGATCAGTGCCATTGACGTAATGCTGACTCACAAGAGAAGCGAAGCAAGCTTCATATGATGACTCCTACTTGTCGACCAAGGTACTGTTAGAACTTCTCGGGGCTCCAAGCGTTGCTTGAAGAAGCAAGGCCTGGCCAGGAAGTCCTGGTGGGGCACCTGGGGATCCGGGCAGTTGCCCGGAGAACATGCTGCCCAGCGGAGCCGCCATGTCTGGAGTGGCCAGAGAGGTCACTGCCTTTTTTGTCTTCTTGAGACAGGGTCTTGCTATGCAGTTCAGGCTGGCCTTGAGCTCACTTTGTAGCCTGGGCTGGCCTCAAACTCGCAAGGATCCTCCTGCCTCAGCCTCCCAAGTGCTGGGATTACAGGCGAGCACCACCACACCTGGCTCAAGCTTTGAATCTCTTATTTCAGCCTTTTAAACTTTCTTTAATGCCTTAGTTTCTTTTATTTCCATCCTTCTTGGGCTTTTTGGCATCCTTTAATTCTTCTTCGTCTTCCAAATTCTTTTTTTTTGTGCTTAAATCAAAAGCTAAACTTTCAGAGTTGCTCTCTGACTCTGGTTTGAACTTATCTTTTAGTTTCCTGGTCTTTGCTTTTTTCTCTTTCAGATCACCTGGGCTTTTCTCTTCTTTCTGCCTTAATTTTTTTCTTCCTTGGGAAGTATCTTCTTTCCTCTCTTTTGCTGATCACTATCAGAGTTTGCCTCAAGTATGCCCTTATTTAAGACAGTTTCTGAATTCCTTCTTGACTGCTTTAGCTTTGTTCTCTGCAACTTCCTTCCTAAGTTCAGGAACTTCTTTACAGTCCTCCGGATGACGTAGGGCTCCCAAGTGTCATCATCTGATGTATGTTCTTCCATCAGACTTCATACAGGATTCTACTCATGTTGGTCTCTTTGTCCAGGACCTGCTCCAGCTCACGTCCTCCCTGTCCTCCTCGCTGTCCCCTGCAGTGTCCGCCCCTTTGGCTCCCTCGTCCTCTTTGCCCACTGCTCCGACTCCTCCTTTGACTTCATGTGATTTGCTGGGTCACAACTGCCTGGTCCACAGCCAAGCACAAAGCCGAGGACAAAGCTGAGGACAACTGTCTGAGATGAACAGCCAGTGGCTCTTTGAGAGCAGCGGTGAGGGTTGGGGGGTGTTGGCCCTAATCCACTTTGGAGGCATGATGCACTCTGAGGGAAACCAGCCAATGTCTGTCACATTTTTTTTTAAGGGAAAAGAATATTATAACATTCACCTATCTTTTCTTTTGTTTTCTTTTGTTTTCTTTCTTTTCGAGACAGGGTCTTGCTATGTAGTTCAGGCTGGCCTTGAACTTGCTTCTGTAGCCCAGGTTGGCCTTGAACTCTTGGTGATCCTCCTGCTTCTGCCTCCTGAGTGCTGGGATTATAGACCTCCGCCACCACACTGGGGTCATCTATGTTTCTATCACCCCAAATAATTATTATTATTTTTTCCCTCCGAAGTACGATTCTTTTCCCTATCTCATTCCTTTTAAACATCCCCTTTATATCAAGTTACTTTTACTGCTCTGTGCACCCGGCATCCGGGAAGAATTCTTTGTGGAGGAGATGATGCAGGCTTTATGTTCCTGCCTATGATGTCCTTATTTTTATGAGTTGTTGATTCCTTGAATACATTACAAAATGCCTGTAGCTTTGTTAGACCAAGTTAAGTGTCTTGTCTTTAGCACAGTTTAGAGTCAGTATGATGACACGGATTCTTTCTTATATTTTATTTTTATTTTTACATGACTTCATTTTTGTTTTAATTTGTTAGATGGTTATGATCTGAGGGGAAAAAAATGACAGTAGTCTGAGAAGGCGGCCATAAGGGGCTTGTAGGCCTTTTCTGGTAACTGCCCTGCTGAGTATAGAAAAATACCCAGATTTGCTGTTTCAACACTGTGAACGACCTCTAGAAGAGCAATCTAATGTAGTGGTGTTTGTAGTGGATCCAGAACAGTACAGGGTGCGAATGTTTTGAAATGTGGTAAAAAAAAAGAAAAAAAAAAAAGTCAAGAGATGCGGGGTTAGTGCGGTCATGTTTCCTCAGGCTCCTTCAGTTGATGGTGGCTTTTACTTGGGCTAGTTTGTGTTTGTGTGGCGTTCGTTTGCCCACTTTGGGGAGGGTGTACTAAGAGGGTGATTGCTGAGCACTGTCATGCCCCACAGGAGCCCCGTGGGAACGAGGTGGTGTCGGGGTGGTGGGCTCTGACTGACACACCTGGGACACCTGCAGTGTGAGGGTTAACGTTTAGCCTGCTTTCTCTTTGAGCTCTGCGTCTTATTTGCTTGTGTTTCATTTTACTTGTTTGGAGCAGAGTGTCCAGTACGGAAGTTTCTCACGCATGGATTGGATTCCAGGGGACGAGGGCCCTGGGGTCGGAGGCACAGCCTGCAGTGGCCTCACTGTCCACCTCCACGGGCTGCATGTGGAGCCTCATGGTGGGGAAGGGTCTTGCCCTCTTGTTGGCTGAGGGTTTCCTCTCTTCTTACGCCACCCCTCACTAGATCCCCCCAGCACCCCACCCTCTGCTGAGCCCACACGGCGGAGGCTCAGAGGCTCGGCTGCTGTGTCCCCTCCACGCCCTGCACTGGTGCTGCTGCTCCAGCCTGGCGCTGCCTGCGGCACAGGGCCTCAGCGCCCTTTCCCCTGCAGCCCTGGGCCACAGGACTTCTCTCCCATGCCCGTGCTTGGGGCTCTTCTTTGTGTGATACAGACTTGTATTTGTCCCTTTGCCCTGGCGGCATCGTAGGCCATAGATAGGCATAATTCCCCTTGCCCGTACATGCTCCTGTATTACCATCTTTTATGTATGAGGCTTACCCCTCACTTTAGTTTGTGCTTGTGTGTAAGATATTGGGCCCACGGACCTATCATTACCAGCCTGAGCCCAACAGACCCCCTCGGTTAGAATGTATCAGAGTTAAACAAAGCTCTCACATGACAAGGTTTTAACTTGGTTATCCCACAGACTGATCAGCTTTAAATGTCTTGATGAAAAATCTAAATAAACAGGTTAAGTGTGGGGCACTTTTTTACTAGTAGAGGTGTGAAAAGATTGGAGCTGGCACGCCTGTAATTCCAGCACTCTGGGAGGCTGAGGCAAGAGGCCTGCAGGTTTGAGTCCAGCATAGGTAACTTAGTGACTGAGTGAGGCCTGTCTTAAAATTTAAAAGGGGCCTAGGTTCAATTCTCAGTACCACAGGAAAAATAAAAAAAGATTAGAAACTGGGGCACAGAGGTGTATGTCTGGAATACTAGCTACTCAGGAGGCTGGGGCAAGAAGACTGCACATTCAAGGCCATCCTGGTCAACTTGGCAGGATCCTGTCTCAGTATAAGAAGTGCTGAATGTGTAGCTCAGTGCTCAAAAGCCCCTGGGTTTCATCCTTGGAACTGAAAGGAGGTTAAAAAAAAAAAAAAAAGAAAGAAAGAAAGAAAAAAGAGACTGGTTGTGCTTGGTGCTTGTAAAACTACTTTTAATTAGGTGTATATGTTATTGTCATTTTATTATTCAGTTGAAAACTTACATGTCAAATAAAGAAGAATTTTTCCACCTTAAAAAAAAGAGAAAAAAAAAAAAAGACTAAAATAAGGGAAGATCCCAAAGAAAACAGAAAATCAAGGAAAAAAATGTTAAATCTCAGCTGGCATTTGAGTGAAGTATACTTAATGAGTGCCCTCTTCAGGAAGATGACAGTGAAGACATATTCTGCCAACAGAGAACAAAAACCAAAAGATAAAACAGGTGAGGACAAAACAAAACACAACAGGTGAGGACACAGGGCAGGACAGGATTTACGATAAACCGCTGGACACCGCCGGAAGTGCGGATGAAGATGCTGACGGCAAGACCAAAGGGAAGAAGAAGAAGCTGAGAAACCAAAAGAGGGCCTGAAGCTAGAAAACAAGAATGTGAAGAAAACTATACCTAAAAGCAAAGGAATCAAAACAGAGGCAGGAAAAACGCTTAGACAAGCTGTTGCCGCTGCACCGGCATCTGACCAAACACAGCGCAGTTCTAGATCCGCGGGGGAAGAGACAAGGCTTAGGTCATCAGACTCAACTGCGGAGGAGAAGGAGACCAAAAAGGGGGGCGGGGCCCAAAGGAAAATATCAGAAAAGGCGTGATTCAGAAAAGGCTGAAAAGAACCAAAAGGATTAAACACATGTAAGAAGTCAGAAATAATTTATTTTTTTAAAACTACATTAAAAAAATGATGCTCCTGAGACTAACGAAAAAAAGAAAAAGAAAAAGAAATACGGGACTATAAAATTACAGAAGATCAGAAAACCAAGGAAAACAAGTATTTATTGAAAGAAAGGGGAACTACAAGAGATGCAAATGACGTTCAGGCAACATAGTGCTGCAGAAGGTGATCAGGTCTGAGGCTCTCTGTGTTCAATAGGTGTGAATTCAGTCGAGTTTGCTTGATATCGTTTTTTTGCAGAACGTTTTCACAGTGCACCACGTTGGTTATCCTCCTCTCCCACTATAATTCTGAACAGAAAATAACAGATTTTATTTGGATTTCCAGAACAAAAGTTTTATATTGAAAAAAAAATGTCTACAAAAAGAAAACGGAGTTGGGCGTGGTGGCGCATGCCTATAATCCCAGCACTTGGGAGGCTGAGGCAGGAGGATCGTTGTGAGTTTGAAGCCAGCCTGGGTTACAATGTGAGCTCAAGGCCAGCCTGAATTGCAGAGTGAGACCCTCTCAAAAAGACAGGGTCTCGTCCAGGCTGGCCTTGAATTTACTGTGTAGTCCAGGCTGGCCTCAAACTCACAGCGATCTTCCTCCCTCAGCCTCTGCAGTGCTGGCATTACAGGCATGCACCACCATGCCTGGCTTGGGAGTTACATTTCAAAGGACTCAGAAGGTTTCATGACACTGGGTGTTTTTGTCGCAGTGCCTTGGGAAGAGCACTTCCACATCAGCCGGTCAAACTCAACCGGTTCACATCTAAAGGTGTCCACACTGCAGTTACCCGCCCCGATGGCCAAGCACACGAGCTTCTTTCTTCCCTATCTCTGCGCATGGTCCTCCCAGTACTTGGCTGCCAGGTGATCTCCAGTGTGGAGGAAATAAACTCACAGCTAAAGTGACGCGTCCAAGGTCACATAAAGGAAATGGCATCACTAGGATCAGAATCCGGATCCCAGTTTTCAGATGAGATTCTCTACCACCCTCCACGGAGGTTAAATATTCCTACATATCCCAAAGAACTGTTAACTCTTGGAGGCAGCTAAATGGCATTTCTAGAATACTTCTCAGTTTCAAGCATTTGCTTAGTAAGAAAACATTTTCTCAAGCATCTACTTCGTGTCAAGTATGGCGCGCAGCGTTGGGGTGCAGCAGTGAACAAGGCGGCGCGGAAGCGTCTGCCCTGGGTTTAGCTCAGAGAGGTGATAAAACGAGGACTAAATGTGTAAACAAAACAGGTGACAAGTGCTATTAAAAAAGAGACAGCGGCGATGGGTGGGGGTCCATATGCTTTTTGCGGGCAGTATTTCGGAAAAGGTGGCCAGAGAAAGCCGCTTAGAAAGTAACATTTAAGTTGAAATCAAGCTTGGACCTCGGCAGGCATTTAAGGAAAGACTTTCCCGCGAAGTCTGAGCTCGGAGAAACGCCAAAGAAGAAAAGGACAAAGCGTTCAGCGCTTCGGCTGCACAGCGGCCGCTCCCAGCCCCTCCGCCGCCGCCGCGGGGCTGACAGGTCAGTCGGTGGACAGTTCCCGGCCCCGCCAGCCGCCGCCGCTAGGGGGCGCCGCGGGCCCTCCCACCCCTCAGGCACCCGAGGCTCAGGCTGCCAAACACCGGTCCAGACCTCGATGACCTGGCTACAGACAAAGGTCAAGGGCAGCGCCGAGAGTCCCTGAGGCCCTGGGGAATCGCGGAGGGCACTAGGCCTCTCAAGGAGACGGCGTCCTCGGGATTACAAACCCACCACAGATTGCAGTCCGCTCTTCCTCCGGGAGAGCCTACTTCCGGCATCTGCAAACCGGAAGTATCGCCTCGCCCAATCGTGATCCTCTTTCCACGTTCAGTCTTGGATTCCTTCCTTCAGTATCAATCAGCGCTCAGGAAGGCGCATGCGTCCTGGGACAGTGACCTTTGACCTGGAGACGACCGCTTCTCTTCCCCCTCCCTTGTTGTGAAGATGGCGCTGTCCAGGGTGTGCTGCGCTCGCGCTGCTCTGTGGGGTTCGGCTGCCGCCCCGGGACCTATTGTCGCCCGTAGGCTACAACTTGGTCGCCCCGGCCTTGCTTGGGGAGCCCTTCGGTGAGGGACCTGGGGAGATAAAAGCCTCCTTTACGTCCAGGCCCTCCAGTGGCTCAGCTTCGCTCGCTTCGTTCTCGGGTTGCACGCCCCTGCCCGGGTTGTTCTCACGCCGCTCAGGATTTGCACTCCAGTCCGCGAAGGAGCCGGTTCCTGATCTGGGACTCGCAGTGCCCCTGCCGTCTGTGCTCTCCCGCGTGTCCTAAGCTTGTTTCTCGGCGTCCCCTTTTCAGCTCAGGTTTTACCGCTGCTGTCCAGAGCCTGCCTCCCGGGCGTTAGCTTGCAGCGCGGATCCCAGAACTTGCCCGCTTGCAGGCTCGCGCCGCCTCCTGCCTCCTCTTACTACTTGGCTTCTGCCGAATCCGCCCCTCTCAGTCCGATTGCTTTTATCTCCTTGAACCCAGGATCTTCTCTGGAGTTCAAGTTTCAAGTCATATTCCCTGAGATCTGTATGTCACACTAGAGACCCCAGGTGTGCTGGGGCTTCTAGGATTGGTTCCCAGATAGGTTCTTTGATCTTCCTTGTAGGTCTTCAAAGCTTCACCTTTCTCCAAAGGCAGATATGAAGAGCTTGATCTCTTATGTGGTGGCCAAGACAAAAGCGATGAATGGGAAATACCATCGTTTCTTGGGTCGTCATTTTCCCCGCTTCTATGTCCTGTACACAATCTTCATGAAAGGTAAAAACAGCTCTAATAGAAATCCCTGAATTAGCTTTCAGCAGTGTCAGAGAGTTAGTTCTGCTGTGGGGGTGTGAGCTGGGATGTCTTCTGTTTCACAGATGTTTGTGCATTCAACTAATTCTTACAAGTTAGCCATTGTTTTTGTTGTTGTCTTTTTGAGTCTCACTATACAGCTCAGGCTCGGCTTGAGCTCCCTTTGTAGCCCAGGCTGGCCTTGAACTCGCAACGATCCTCCTGCCTCAGCCTCCCGAGTGCTGGGATTACCGGCGTGTGCCACTGCACCCGGCAAGTTAGCCACTCTTGAAAATTTTTCTAGAAAAATGTTATGAGAGACAACTTTTGACAACACAGGGGAAGCAGGAGGACATAGGTTTTTTACCCTTGTATTTTTCTTAACCACATTCTTGGCTAGAGAAGTTCCTTGTCCTGCACAAGGTCAAGGACCTATGGCTGCACATAGGTCCTGTGAGTTACCCATTGTCATGGACCATACAAAAGTCTGACCTGATGCTTTTTACAGGCCTGTCTTACATATCATGTTGTACTGGAAATAGCACTACATATGCTTGACTTCTGAATGTTTTGGTTCAAATTAGAGATATGCTAGTTACTAAGAAATTACATACATAATGTCAGTATTCACTTGAGCTAGACTGCCTGATTCAAATCCCAGATTGTCACTTAGTGACTGTGTCACTGAACTAGTGACTTAACTTCTCTGTCCCTTGGATTTCATATCCATAATATAAAAATAGTACCTTCCTGATGACCCTATTTTTTAAAATCAGATTTTATTGGTACATTTTAGATATACGTAATGATTGCATTCATCATAGAGAATTTGTACCTGTACATGATATAACTTGTTTTTTCCCACTCCCCTCCCCTCCCTTCAACCCCTCCTCTCCACTTACAGCATCTTGTTTCCGTGTCTTCCTTCTTTTCTCACTTTTTTAAACTTTTCCTTTCTTTCCTTTCCCTTTCCCCTCTCCCTTGTTCCCCTCCCCATTTGAACATTTTCTTCTTATTTCACAATACCTGTTACACATTTGGGTCCTTATTTACACCAGAAAAACAATGCAGTATTTACACATGTGTGTCCGATTTGTTTCAGTTAAGCGTATGGACTCAAGGTGCATTCCTTTTCCTAGCAATGTCTTGAGTGTATTCTTCTCACATTGTTGTGAATAAGTAAATAAATATATGTAAAGCTGTTAGGACAGGGCTGACCTATAATAGGTGCCCAATAATGTTAGCTATTAATATTATTATATGCTGTACCCATAACAGTATATATAACTACCACAGTGTCAACTCTGAATATTATAATAATTATTACTAACTTCAGGGACTTGAAAAGTTACCTCCTCTTATCCTCAGAGATAAGAATAGCTGCCTTGTCTGCCCCCAAGGTGTTTAATTAGGACCAAGTAAGAAAAGAGTCTGAGAGCATTTTTGTTTGTTTTAAAACCTTTGATTATGGAAATCTTAAAACTATGCAAAAGTAAAGAGAATAATATAGTTAATTTCCATGTACTCAACATCACATCATGTCATGGCCACTGATCTTATTTATATGCTTGCCTTCTCTTGTATTTTTTTGAAGCCAGTCTAGGTATAATTTTGTTCATATATATGAAATTATTTTTTTTAAAAAATAAAGTGCTGAAGAGGAGTTGAAGGGAAGAAAGGGGAATGGGAAAAAAAGAAGCAGCAAGATACATCATGTACAAGCTGGGTGTGGTTGCACATGCCTGTAATCCCAGCACTTGGGAGGCTGAGGCAGGAGGATCGTTGCGAGTTTGAGACCAGCCTGGGCTACTAAGTGAGCTCAAGGCCAGCCTGAACTGCATAGTGAGACCCTGTCTCAAAAAGAAAAAAAAAAAAAAAAAAAGATATATCATGTACAGGGATAAATTTCCTACAATGAATGTTATCATTATGTATATCTAGAATGTATCAATAAAATTTTAGAAGCAAAAAATACTAAAGTTCTAGATAAGTGTAAGACTTTTCATAGAATAAAGATTTTAAATGAAATCATAGAAATTTATTGAATTATACTATTTATAAAAATGTTTCAGAAAGGAAATATTAGTATCTGGCTGGGAAATGCATAGGGTTAATGGAGCAAGACTTCCGTATGAGAATTGAGCGTGGTGGCACATGCCTATAGTCTCAGTTACTTGGGAGGCTGAGGCAGGAGGATCACTTGAGCCCACAAGTTTGAGACTAGTCTTGGGTAACATAGTGAGATTCTATGAGGGCGATCATTCCATAACAGAAGAACAGAAACGCAGCGTAGCTAGAAGAAAGGTCATATGCTGGAGGGAAAAAGAATGGTCAACCTGAAAGGAATTTCAAGAGACCTAGTTTAAAGCTTTTTATCTAGGGGCCGGAGATATAGTTCAGTGGCGCAAACGCCTGCTTGGCAAGCACAAGGTCCTGAGTTTGATTCCCGGTGCCAAAAAAAAAGCTTTTATTTAGTCTTGGGGTGGGACATGTGTGTGTGTGTGTGTGTGTGTGTGTGTGTGTGTGTGTGTGTCTGAACATAGAGTACAAAGTTGTGGTAAGATTCAAACTGGATAACGGCACACTCTGTGTCCTCTACTTTAATGAGGCAGGATTACAGATGTTTTGGGCTGATGCCAAAAAGGCTAGAAGAATAAAGACAAATATGTGGAAGCACAATATAAAGTTTCATCAACTTCCATACCGGGAGATGGAGCATTTGAGACAGGTATGAGCCAGGGGCAGATACGCAGAGGTTGATGGTGAGGTAATTCCAGTTAACCAAGTCTCAGATCTTCTCCTTTCCTTTAGTGTTCACTGCTGACCATGCCTTTCCCCCTTTGCTGTAAGATCAAAGTATTGAAGTGAATGAGAGCATCTGATTATTTGTCAAAATTGGGTTCATTCCAAGGTGCAGCCTCTATAACAAAGCTCCGCAGAATTTCCGGCATGCTCTCTGAATAAAGTTGTAAGCACTAAAATCCAGTTTGTTTCTGAAGGACCCATAGGGCAGCGGGAATGTGGTTTTTGCTAGTGACTTGATGAACAATTTTGAAACTGAGAGTAAGAATCTAAGACCCATTCTGCGGTTCAGGAAGAACTCACTTCAGGGATTTGATATGTCAGACCTTATGTGAGATATTGTTTAGGGGACAAAAGTGAACAAACCAGAGGTTCTCTCTGCAAGAGACCTAGTTTCTGTCAGCTAGTAGCAGACAGAAACAAACTTGGTCTTTTTTCTGGGCTGCACAGAGAGGTAGAGGTATTACCTGTTATATGACTTTAACTTGTGTTAAAACTGCACCTGTCTTTATTTCTGTTTAGTTCCGTCAAGATGTCAGCAAGTGTCTTTTCTTAGGTATTATTTCCATTCCGCCCTTTGCCAACTACCTGGTCTTCTTGCTAATGTGAGTATGGACGTGCATCTCCTCAGCATCTTTTTTTTTTTTTTTTTTTGGTTTTTTGGTTTTTTGGTTTTTTTTTTTTCTGGTACCAGAAATCGAACTCATGACGTCACGCTTGCCAGGCAGGTGCTGTGCTGCCTCCTCAGCATCTTAAGTATAATTTTTAATTAAAAATTATCTTAATAACTTTTCATTTCAGAAGCTAGGCAGAGGTTATCAAACTTCCTACTCCAATCTTCCCATCATTCCAAGGCTTATAAAAGCCAGTCAGTAATACCTTGGTTCCCGGGACAGGAGGGCGGCAGTAGGTGTTCTTGCTGCCCTGGGTGATGTGAAATAAGAGCACGGTCTTCCCCATCAATCCGAGTCAGCATCTTGCTCCCTGAGCGTTAATAATTTGGGACAAATTTTTTCTTCAGGAAAGCAATGCATTTCATATTCTGATGTCGTTTTATTACTTCATATCCAAAGATGACACCTCTAAACTGGTACGTTATACATTATCTCTTGCTGTATAACAAACAAGCTCAAACCTTAATAGCTTAAAGTAACCATTGTTTTCATGATTTTGTGGGTCGTGAGTTTAGGCTGAGAAAGGTGATTGACTTTTTTCACCCATGTGGTGCCGACATAGGTCCCTCAGTGGTAGCTGCTGAGTGGACTGGTCTGGAAGGCCAAGGTTACTGTGGTACCTCGGAGGGGTTGCCGGGAGACAAACTGTCGGCTAGAGTGCCCACATACGGCTTCTTCGAGCGTGGCCGCCTGACGGTGGGCGATCTTACACGGCAGTCAGGGCCCAGGACTGACTATTCCAGTGAGTAAGAATCTGCGTGACCTTTGGTGCCTGTGTTTTGGAGCTCAGACTTCTTCTCTATTCTCTTGGCTGACTGAATCACCCAGATGACAAAAAGAGGACCTAAACCTCACCGGTACAGAGGAGGAATGCCAGAAAATCTGTGGCCATGTTTTAAAGCCATCCCATGTGATATGATTAAAAACCAAATCTGTTGCCTTTTTCATAGTGTATACATGTAAGGACTGTGCAGCAGGGAGGGCATCCACATCATGTAGTGTCCAGCTCTGTCTGTAACTCAGTCTGAAGAATGTTCTTCATGTGCTTCAATTCAAAAGGAGTTTTATCAGATTGCTGCGTGCCAGGCAGCAACCATTTAGGTGGTTCTGCTCAAAACTGTGCTTCGGTGTACGTTTAAACCTTAGGCTTAATTGCTTTATTTAAAAAAAAAAAAGGACTTTGAGGTAGGAAAACAGTGTCTCCCTTCCTTTTTCCCAGTATTCATGTCCGCCAGATGCTTGCTTAGCTCACTTCGATAGATAGTTTCTATAGTGACTTTGTGATTCTTTTTCCTTTTAGGTACTTATTTCCTAGGCAACTACTGATCAAACATTTTTGGACCCCCAAACAACAAATTGATTTCTTAGATATCTATCATGCTCTCCGGAAGCAGTCCCACTCAGAAATCATTAGTTATTTAGAAAGCGTCATCCCTCTCGTTTCTGACGCAGGGCTCCGGTGGCATCTGACGGAACTATGCACCAAGGTATTTGTCCAGTTAACCTCCCTGCAAACTAGGCTTCTCGTGAGATCAGCCGTGCACTAGAACTAGAAGGGGGCCCAGCATGACTTCCTAACGTGTGCCGATCTTCCGCTCCCAAGATACAGAATGGTACCCACCCAGCAGCACAAGATGTCCTGGCTCTCAGAGAGTGTTTCCGTAACCATCCTCTGGGCATAAACCAGCTCCAGGCTTTGCAACTGGTGAGCACTCTGAGGCTTTCCTTTACCACAGACTCAGCTAGTTCAGACCTTTCGGGTAATAGCTGGCTCTCTCCTCCTCTGCTGTCATAGAAAGCCTTGAGCCGGGCCATGCTTCTCACACCTTACCTCCCTCCTCCGTGGTTGAGACGCCGTTTGAAGGCTCATACTACTGTGATTCACCAGCTGGACAGGGCTTTGGCAAAGCTGGGGATTGGCCAGCTCACTGCTCAGGAAGTGAAATCGGTAAGCGCTTAATTGAAGTATCAAGCAGTAGCCCACACTGGCCTGGAAGCTTACAAAATTTCCTTGTTTTATTATATCAAAACCCAAGCTCTTTATCCTTCAGTTTATTTCTGTCTTTTTTTTCTCAGTGTACTAAACTAGTGGGAAGAATTGCCCAGAGTAGGTTTATTTTGTATTTCTTTTCTTGTAGCACTTTAAAAATCAAGGACATGCTGGGCATGGAGGTGCATGCCTGTAATTCGAGCACTCAGGAGGCTGAGGCAAGAGGATCACCATGAGTTTGAAGCTACCCTCAGCTACATAGTGAGTTCAAGACCAGCTTGGACTACATAGCAAGACTCTGTCTCAAAAAGACAAAAAAAAAAAAAAATCCAGGACACTACACATTTATTTATTTGTTTGTTTGTTTATTATTTTGAGATGGGTCTCACTAAATTGCCTAGGCTGGGCTAGAATTTGTGATCCTCCTGCTTCAGCCTGAGTAGTTGCGCAACGTTACACTTTAGACCTCCTGTTTTCAATTGTATAGCTGTGTTACTGTAACACATACCTGAGATAAGTGATTTAAAAAGAACAAAGGTTTATTTATCACAGTTTTGGAGGTTTCAGTCCGTGGCCAGTTGGCCCTGCTGCTCTTAGTACTGTGATCAGCAGCAGCACAGCATGGCGGGGGTACGTGGCGGAACAGAGCCGCTTTCTTGTGACAACCAAAGGGAGACTGGAAGAGGTGTCCCCAGTGCACACCCCCAGAAAGACTCTTAGGAGACCTCGCCTCCTAGAGTTTCGACCTCCTTCCAGGAGCATGTGGAGCACTTTGAGGCTTTCTCTTTTCCACAGACTCACGCTATTTCAGCCTAAGCCTTTAACACATGGACCTTTGGGGGACATTTCAGATCCAAATGATAACATAGTGCTCCTTTACTTGTTATCATATCCATCACTAGTCCAGCTGTCAGATGGGGATCAAGTTGTAACTCGCTCAAAGGAAATCTAGGGTTCTTTGTAGATTTCCAGTTCCTTGGCGTACTCACCGCGTGATTTCTCAGGACTGTTTCTCTTCTGAGTGTTATAGGCTTGTTATCTCCGCGGCCTGAATTCTACCCATATTGCTGAAGACAGATGTCGAACTTGGCTGGGGGAATGGCTACAAATTTCGTGCAGCGTGAAAGGTAAGGCACATTTCTACGGTTGTGCCACTGAAAGCCAAGTCCTTTTTGTATTTTATTCTGAGATTATCTTGTAGTCACTGAGTACTGTGAAGCCTTTGTCTAACATGTGTGTCTACTTGAAAGGGCATGAATTTACTGCCTACCCCATGCCTAGGCCAGTAATGAAGTCGACCGTAAGACAGGAGGCAGTGCTGGGGTCACGGGACCCGAGAGGGAGGGCACGCTGATCCGAAGCAGTCTCCGCTTTGCGGTCACTGACCTTTGCTGTGGGGAGGCTGCCTGTGCACTGCAGATGTTTGGCCGTGTTCCTGGCCTCTTCCCACTAGATGCCGTCCAACCCCTGTGACAATGCAAAGTATCTCCAGACATGGCCAAGGGTTCCTGGGTTGAGGAGCAAAGGGAGAGGCAGAATTGCCCTAGTTGAGAAGCACTAAAGACATCGCATTTAAAACAAAACTGTACTGGCTGAACAAACAGTGTCTTGAGCGTAGGTGTTACGCCTTCTGGTCCCGTTTGGAAACCCTGGCAGTCTTGGATGGTTTTGGGGCCTTCGTGTATCAGAGTAGGTCTACTAAGCTTGAAGCTGAGAAATGTCCCCAGAGTGCCACATTCTCCCAGAACCCCGGAGTGACAGTAGTGCTTAGCACCAGGGCCACCTCTGAGTCTTCTGTTTCCATCCTGTGAGAATCAAGAAGTAAGGGATGAGTTTACATACGCACTGGCAGCACAGAGAAGCCGCGTGCGGGCTGACACGGAGCAGGGAACTTGGGGAGCGGTGGCCCCTTAGTGCCACCCTAACTGCTGTCTGCCCTGCCGCCTCCGCTTTCAGTTCCTACACACACGGGCCGCTCGAAGGCAGACTTTGCCAGCCAAACCACTAACGCTGATGGTGTTTGCAGAAACCGAGCTGTCCCTCCTGCTGCACAACGTGGTCCTGCTTTCCACGAACTACCTTGGGACGCGGCGCTGAGTGAAGCGTGGAACGGGCGGCGCAGTCCTGCAGTCTCGTCGTACAGCAGCGCGGGACCAACAGCACTTGTCTGCAGTCCGTGTGCGCCGTGAGGCGTGCAGGGCCGAGGAGAGGTGCCATGGCTTCGCAGCCACTACCTGTGGGAACTACAGACATTCCGCTCACAGCTCAAACTACAGCCCTTCTCAAGGGTGGCCCCTGCAAGCTGTCACGTATCTCACAGTAAGCTGGAGTTGGCAGCAACTTCTGTACTAGGCTTTTACCAGGACGTGTCACTTTCTGGTCTTAGGAAGTGTTTTGCCCCAGGGGGAGTCATTTCGCAGAGAGTTATCAGCTCCATGCTCATTATAACTGGCGGGGGGGTGGGGGTTTCTGTTGGAGAATTCCCAGCTGGTGTGGCCGTTACCAGTGAGACTCGATCATTTACATCCATGCATGTTTTCTTCAGTGCTCCTTTGCCTCATCCCTGGTATGACCAAAAGTAGGATATTTTGTCCTCCTCACTGGCAAGGGTTAACTGCTCTTTCCTTTTGAATTCCTTTGAACATTTTTTCAGTGACTAACTTACGGGAACATTCTGAAGGGAGTGATTCAGGAGTGCTACTTGGCTCCTTCTCCAGGGTGTACAGCCTTCACTTCCACTTTGTCTTAATTTCTGGGCTGGTGACAGCCCCTAAGGATCTTCAATTCTTTGCTACCTCCACTGCGTTGCAGAATCCAGCTGTAACTGACAGTGGCCTCTTTGGGCCATGGGTCAAAACTTTAAGGTACTGATTACTGCCCTGGGAGGCCGGGAGAGACCTACAGCGAGACAGGAAGTTGGAGGTAGCTTGTGTGCACCTCTGTGACCTGCGGTTCTGTAATAACTTATTGTAAATGCATGAAGCACTGTTTTTAAACCCAAGTAAAGACTACCTGAAACCAGTTGATGATTATTTACATCCACTCTAATCCTTTTGCTAAGGCTGCTTCTATAAGACTAAGGCTCCTTTCGTATGACTGACATAACCTAATATTTAATTGGTTGCAACAGGAGCTTCTGATGGGATGGAAAGTTTGAAGAAACTCATTTGATCTCCTGGTGGACATTTTAAGGTGGCACTAGAACCAGAGAGGAAGGGACGACACACAAAGGGCTGAGAGAGCAGCGGCAGGACTTGCTCCAGCTGGGGAGGGACACACGGGCAGATGAGGCAGGACCGCAGGCTCCTGGCGCTCCAGAGAGAACATGCCGCACGTCCATCGCAGCACGTCCCCATTATCAGCGTTCTCCAAACTGACCTAATTAGTTTTATATACAGAACGGGAGAAGCATCCCTTCTCTTAACAAGTAACTGGCCTGCCAAGACAAAGACTAACACATCATTCTTTTGAATATTTCTTTAATATTACATTTAAATATTCTCTTTAAATACGGCATTATCACAATGTAAAGAACCTAAAGGGGGAAAAAATTGTTTTCAGAGAACCAGACAAGCTTTGGATTCACATTGAAAATACTACCTGTGCATACAGTATGTGAAAGGGACAGTAAGCTTCATTTCTTTTATCTAGGCCTAGACTGAGTGGGACTGAAGCCGTCCAGTCCACTTCTACAGCCAGAGGCCCACCTTCCCTAGCAACCATGAGCTGTAATTTTGTCCAATTCAGGTAGCACCAGAAATGAGACAGACTAGGTTGTAGAAAACGCCCTTTGCTTGACAAGAGTTAATGCTAAATGCTAATATTTAGCACTCGGAAGTTTGGGGTTAGTGTGTCAGAATTGTAAAGAAGGGATGGGCCGGACGGATGCTGGGGTTTTGCAGAAATATCATATATCTTGTGGGTTGACAATGAGTTTAATAATCACAAACTTGAATTCATTTGATCCCAAAGGCTGATGTTTTTCTTACTGAGCAGCTGGAATCTGCCCACTAAACTGAGTTGGAGCTTCCTAAGGAGAAAATTTCTAAGCTTCCTCCTCTTTCCAACAAATTTTTAAAAACAGTTTTTTCTCCACGGAGCCAAATTCTGAGAGAAACTTCACAGTCGTGTCTGAGTCCCCATCTAAGGAGGGGGACAGCAGCTCAGTTTGGAAGAGCATCTAAGTCTCAGGTACTTGAGAACCTCAGCTCTGTCTTGTGAGGCTGGGGGATGGGGAGAAACACGGACACACGCCCCCAATTAAGAACGCTCTTCCAACATAAAACCAAACAAAAACAGGAATGGACAGGAAAGGCGGAATGGGTTAAAACATGTAGCTGTATTAATTACAAAGTCCTTCAGGCTCAGATTGTGTAGGTGAAAGGCTGCTGACAAATACTCAAAGGTTGCTTTAAGACACCAGAGCCCTAACTATCTCACAAGGAAAGGGTTTATGAGCAAACAAAGATGAACAGTTATCTCCCCAACCACAGGAAAGTTTGTACTCTTCATTCCTGGGTAGTAAATCATACCGGAAGTGAAACATGGTGTCTAGGACACTAGAAAATAGTGTTTTGCTCCCTACTGTGTCCATTTTAAAAGAGGCAAAGATAAACTCTGACAATAAAAAGAAATCAGTGGAGTTGAGTGAAGCAGACCTTGGAACATACGCTGGACTAAGAGGAACAGGAACCACTGACAGAGGGAAGAACAGAATCTGAGTCCCATCCTATACATTTCCAAGGTTACAATCAGATCCTGAATCCTGTGCAACCTGGGAGTTGTGTGTGGCATTTTAAGAATTGGTTTGGCTTCCAATCTATGTATCAAGACAGAGAAGGTTCAGTAAACATGTGCAGTTCTTGGGGCTGACCTGGACTAGTGTTAAGAACTCCAACCCTGTATACATCCAAGCAGGGTCACGAGGGCAGATACAGAAAAAAATAAAAACTAGCAGGTGTCCTTAGACTGCCACACCTTCCATCCCACTTAAAGCTCAGATCTGGGGGGCACCGTGAAAAAGCAAACGTGACACAGATCGAGTCATCTCTCCAGACAGCGGCTGGTCCTGCGGCCGCCTCCGGACAGACCTCACGCTCTGTATGGGCTTCTGTGAGGGGCGAGCTTCGCCTGAAGCTGCCCAGCACAGCCAGTGATGGACACAGGCGGAAGCCTCGGGCTCTTTACACCACATCCCCAGCCAGGCTCGCTCTTTTTCTTCAAAGGAAAAATGGAGGAAAAGAAGACAGACTACCTAAACTCTAGTACCTAAGAGCATGTGAAGGAAATACAGTCATTCAAGTTACAGACCAGGGATCCCCAGTGTGGGGAGCTGGTCAGAGAACACCAAATGTCAAATATTAACTTCTTTACCAAATGGGGGTCAGAGGAAGGCAGGTGACATTTTTAGAAATCCTGGAGGTTTTGTATAGAAGCAGAGACCCTTCTACCCCTCCTCTCTAGATCCTGCCTGGCCACCTTTGCAACTGCGTGACGACACCAAGACGGAGCACGGAATAACCAGAGAGAAGTGAGCTTGCACCCTCCCCACGGCCAGGACAGCCGGGGCTTTGCCCTGCTGTTCAGATTCGTGTGTTCCGGTCCCTACATGAAGAACAGCCGCTTGAGCTACCCAGCGCCTCCTGTGTGCTCCTACCTCTGTTCTGACAGCCCAGAAAGCTCAGTACTGGGCACCGCGCGGCCGCCTGTAAGACTGTCTCCAGGTCAAGCTGGAGCTGGTCTCCTTGGTACTGTTTCCCTTTTTAAAAATACTTGTACAAACAAGCCTTTCCCACCCACTCCCCGAAAGATCCCAATAAAATAACATGGGAGCAGCAGCTGCTTCTACAGTCTTGCAGTGGCATTAGATAAAATAAGGGAATAAATAGAAAGTGGGTGAGAGGCGGCACCTCTACCCCAGGTCACACTGCCAGGGGGAGTTCTAGGGCAGCCTCTTCGGGGGGCCGGTCCTCACTCTGCGGGGAGCTCTTCTCCGCCGCAGATCCCTCTTCGCTGTCCGTGCGGAAGGGGAGGCTTGAGGGGGACCATGAGGAGTGGAAGTCTTCGTTCTCGGGCTCCTCGGTGTTACAACCCTCCGGCAATAGCGCTTCTAGAGCGGGCGTTTTCCCCACCTCCGACTTGCAGAGGCCGGCAGGGTCTGTGGGGCTGCAAGCCACCAGCGAGGTAACGGGGAGCGAGAAGACGCTCAGGTCCTTCTCCCTGGGGAAAGAGGCTGTGCCTTCTTCCGTACCGGGCTCGCCTTTCACCCCCAGCACCGACCTCTGCTCCACCTGGTAGTAGACCAAGGGCCCACTGTTCAAGTAGGATGGGCTGCTCACTGTCGAGGCGGACGGGTGCTCCGAGTTCTCAGCAAAACACAGGACGGAGGAGCCTGGGGCCAGCTGCGCCTGGATGAGGATGGGGGCTGTGAGGCCTGGGCACAGCTCTTCGGGAACGGCCAGCGGCTCCTCCAGGATGCACACGCCCAGGCTCTCGATGCTCGAGTCCAGGCTGGCACTGGAGCCGCTGGAGTCCTCCTCGGCCTTGAGCCGCTCCAGTTCCTCCGCACTCTGCAGGTGCATCACCGCGGTCTCGTTCTCGGCGAGGAACTCCTGGAAGTCCTGCGTCTCGGAGCCCTGCGCGCCCGGCAGGCTGCAGCCAGCGGCAGGTGAGGGCTCCTCCTCCGGGGCTGCCGGGCGGCTCACCTGCCGCTTGCTCTCCAGCTCCAGCTTCATGATGGTGTGCAGGTAGTGAGTCCGGACTCGGATCGGGTTAAACTCGATGCGCCCGGCCATGTTCCCGCAGCCATCCCTGGAGCAGCCACACGGAAAGGACATGCGATCCACCTACGGGGCACAAGGAGGTTGAGACAGGATGAGACCACTGGATCCAACAGAGCTATCAACTGGCAAACACAGGCAGTCGGGGTTGGAGGGCTTACAAGAAGAGAAGCAACCAATTCAAAACCTAGCACGCGGCAAGAGCTCACGGCACTGCACGGCAGCTGTCAGGCCGCCCGCCTCTGGGCTCCAGCTCCGCCACTGCTGAGCGGCGGGGACCTCGAGTCCTTTACTTCTCCCTAGGGCTTTGTTTCCTCTGCTAAGTAAAAAGCAGACAAAAGTCATAGCAAAGGATCTTTCTAGCAGTGACGCCTCTCTGGATGCTGACAGTCCTCAGAGAAGTCTCTGTGCCTCAGGACTTCCAGAACTTAGCTGGTTCGGGGACAACGAAAGGCTGGGCCCACGCCTACGGCCTTTGGCAGGACTGGCCTGGGACAGTGAGTGGAAGAGCCGCTGGTCCAAAGCAATACACTCTGGGGTAAATAAGCAAACTAAGGTGCCAGAATGGAGGCTCAAACAATGAACAGGATTTCCCTGCCTGCTTTATGTTTCCCCCTGAGGGCTTAGACTAGTTAAGATCTGAAGCAGTTACTAAGATAATTAGCTTGGAGCTATCTGGACCAGAGCTATCTGGAAAGCAGATGCTTTCTACCTTCTTATCTCCCCTTCACAAACAAAATGAAAGGCGGAAAAATCCAAACAGTACAATTAAACATTAAAAAACGTGAGTAAGCAAATAAGCATGCATGCGTATTCAAACAGTTCCTAAAACTGTTCTCAGGTCTGAACGACAGGCTGATTTATATGGGACTTCAATATAAAATGCACTAATTGGCTCAATCTGCTATAGCTATTTGTTACTTGCCTAAAAATAAGAAAGAAAAGGTTGGTTAGGAAATGCTGAACTGCCGGGCGTGGTGGCGCATGCCTGTAATCCCAGCACTTGGGAGGCTGAGGCAGGAGGATCATTATAAGTTCAAGGCTATAAAGTGAGCTCAAGGCCAGCCTGAACTGCGTATCAAGACCCTGTCTCAAAAAAAAAAAGGAACTGCTGAACCATAAGGACTTAGCGTCCATATTCTCAGGATACAAGTCCCAGATAAATTTCATTCTCTAGGATGTTACCGCTGTTTTCTATCACAATGTGTCAACTGTCCCTTGTGAGAAAGCACACAAAAAGATGCTAACTTTCTCTCAGGAAACTCAGGAGTTAAGCTCTGCTAGCCTAGATCCTGACTTAGAGAATCTTGAAACCATTTTGATTTTTTCAAAATTGGAATAGAGGTAATATGAGTATTTGCAGATAGAATGTATAGGCCTCCTTTCTTTGCTTCTTTTTATCTCAAGAATTCTGTCAGTATTCAAAAAATGGTTACAAAAGGGTAAATATACTAAGCCCCGTTTTTCCCTTTGTTTGTCTGTTTGTTTTTTTCTTTTTGAGACAGGGTCTCGCTATGCAGTTCAGGCTGGCCTTGAGCTCACGTTGTAGCCCAGGCTGGTCTCACACTCACAACAATCCTCCTGCTTCAGCCTCCCCCTGCCTCAGCCTCGAGAGTGCTGGGATTACAGGTGTGTGTGCAACACCATGCCCGGCCTTTGTTTTTCCCCTTGCTAACAGCTACTTACTTCATTTCACCTCTGAGATATGAAAGAGAATAGATAACAGGTACCGCCACAGCTTAAGAAACTTGTCGAGCTCACTTTGTTGGTGGAGGAGAGCTGTGGCACTGCAGCGTGTTTACAGACGGGGACTCCATCTCTCTGGACGGGCAGCTTCCCATCCTCATGGTACCCACACCACAGGCCTGGGCCCTACGGCACATACACTACCTTGGCCAACTCTGACTGACCTGGCATTTAATCCCAGCCTGGCTACAGGCACAGGCCTCTGGGTCACAATACAGTCGACAATCACAACCACACTCTTCCCGAGAGAGACGGATGGCTCGAAGTTCTTGCTTTTCTTCAGCATCAATGCGGTGGACCCCAGAAGCCCTCAGCAGGGCCCGGCGCCGTTTGGTGGGCAGAGGCTGCAGGAAGAAGTAATCGTCTACCTCCACGTTTTCCACATCAATATCTTCATCTGAAACGTCATCCAGGGTCAGGCCGTCAGCCTCCACCGACTCCACGGTCCCATTCTTGGTCAGCTGCCGAAAGACGGAAAGGTCAGCCTCGGGAGCACGGGCAGCACAGCCTCCGCCCGGCGAGCGGCACTGTACGCTGCACCTCTGCGGCCAGGGGCAGAGCCGCGCGGGCCACACACAGGCCACTCCGAATGCGGCTGCTGAGCGCTCCGACGCGGAAAGTGCAGAGCGGAGGGGGATCCCGGGGGTCGAAACAAGGCCTCTGCCCTGAGCTACATCCTCAGCCCCTCTCCCCGCTTTGGGACAGGGTCTCACTACCTTGCTAAGTTGCCCAGGCTGAACAAACCTGTGAAGCTCCTGTCTCAGCCTCCTGAAATTCTAGGCTTATAGGTGTGTACCATGCCCAGCTGAAGAACTGACTTTTTAGTTTTAAATTAAATAGCCTCATGTGACTAGGAGCTTCCATACTGGATGGCATGGGTCAAGAGAATAAAAGCAGAAAGACAAGAACTCGTATGGGGCCTGACCACCCCCCTGGCAACACAAGTGACGTCACCTTTCTGGGTCCAAGTTTCACAAAAACCTGTCTCTTATCTTCCCTCCTAAAAGACAACCTGTTCCCTCAAACATTCCCCCCAAGCCAGGATACTTCCCCTAACTTTGGTTCACCTGCTTCCTAACACGGGGGGAGAAGGTATATTACCGGCTGGATGTTCCTCGGGTACGTGGATAAGCCTGTAAAACACCCTTCAACTTGTATCTCAGAGAGTCCAAAATTCCCTTCTAAGGAAGGGTACGTTAGTGTGGGACCAGGCCACCAGGTCACTGTCCATGGACTGAGTCCCCAGAGAACAACTGTCAGTGCCTGCTGAGAAGAGCCGCATTTTATTGGTAGGAGTAAGTTATTATTAGTCACCAGAGAAATCCCTCACCTGTAGCCCAGGATCTAGAAGAAATGTACTCTTTCTCCTTTCTAAGCCTTTTCTGACTTTAAAGAAAAGCTCCATGTGTGAGATAGAATGATATAAACACTGAGTACGCTACCAGTGGGCAATAATCTGGGCTTTCCGTGCTGACACAAATACAGCCAGGAAGAGACCGGGTGTGGAAAGACAGACTGAGCTCTGCAAACTCACTAGAGAATCCAAGCAAAGAAAACGGGGCCTCGCGGTCCCTGGAGCTCTGGACGCTGCCAGCAGGATGGAAGCCGAGCGAGCAGAGAGTTTGGTTTGTTTCATCAGACACCCGGAGAGCAGTGCTGGGAAAGGACACCTCCTGGGAGAGATGTGATGCAACAGCCGGAGCAGGAAGCCACACACCTGGCCAGTTTGGGGGTGGGGTGAGAAATGAGGAGCGAACTAACGTGGGGCTTCTCGGGGCTCCCCGGCCTGCCGCTTCTGTCTCAGCAGGCAACGACAAGAGGCTTTTCTGTAGACCTCAGGCTTGCTCCCGTCCGTGCCAGCAGGGCTGGCCTCCTCCTAAGCACCCTCCGTCCCGCTAACCTCTCAAAGCAAAGAGAGGAGAAATGCAACGGAAAAACCTCGTGTTCCAGATGAGAGAATTGGACATCACCAGAGAAGCGGCATTTCACATCAGTGAGAAGCCTTTTACTCATTCAATGGCCCTGGGTGCTGAGGCAGGAGGATCACCGCAAGTTCAAGGCCAACCTGGGCTAGGTAGACCCTGCCTCAAAAAAAACCAAAAAAATGGTATTGGGAGAACTGAATATTCTTTGGGAAAGAAAAGTTAAGACTTCTAATTCATACCATTCATAACAATGGATTCCATATTTGTTTTAATGCAAGCATTAAAATAATAAAAATATTTTTAAAAATATAAGTAACTAAAGCCACCGAGCTCCAAAGAATAACTGGAACAACAACCCACAAGGAAAACAAACATGAGATGGTGCATAAAGAATACATGTATTTTTGAGATTGGCTGCCTCACTCATAGAGTGCAATAGACAGAAAAACTCCCCAAGAAAAGAGGACAGAGGATCTGGGAAAGGTAAAGCAAGGCTTTTCTCCTGACATGCAAAGATGTTTAGGTACCACCACTGCCGGTACTCACTAAATATTCTGCTAATGAGCAGGAAGCGTTTATCTCAGTCTTTGGTCTGTCTGGCTTTGTCCCTAGAATTCCTATGAGGAAGGGAGGACAGAACAGAGGGGTACCCTGTTTTGACAGATCATTTCTCTACCAGACTTAGGATACACGAGCTCACTTCCAGGAAAAAGGAAGAAGGCCTTTATTAAAACTGATGAGAAGAGTGTTTATTTGCTCAACTGTTGCCATAGCAGCAGGAAGGTGACAGGGTCAATGATGGAATTCCTCAGACAGAAGTCAGGGAAGCCTGGACATCATTCTACTTAGAAAAACAGGTGGAGGCTTAGGAGCAGGCTGAGGGAGGCAGACAGAGCTCTCAGAGAGACAAAGAGTAAGATCTAGTTTTCCTGCACCCTCTGCCACCAGTTCTGCTATTCTACCGCATGCTGGTATCACCCTCAACCCTGGAAATAACACTGCCACCTCTTTTAATATGGGCATGTTTTGGGCCCACCACAAACCTGGGAGAAACTGTTTTGTGCAGTGTGGGACATAAAAGCCAGGGCCTTGTGCATGCGAGGTAAATGCTCTAACACTAAGCTACATGCCCAGCCCTGGACTAACTTCTGAGGACTTGTGCAAACTGTGGCCTTAAAGTGTCCAAACAGTGCTGAGGTGGCACACAGCGGCTATCAAGAACCACCTGAGGGCTGGGGTGTAGCTCAGTGGTAAAGCACTTGCCTAGCATGCATGAGGCCCTGGCTTCTACCTCGGCACTGGGGGATAAAATATTTAAAAAAGAGCTATCTGAGTAGGATGTTCTCCCAGCCCCTTTCTCCCACCTAAAGAGCTGGTATTGTCAGGCGGCAGGCACAGTACTGTACACGGCTGAGTAACTATGCGGTAGTGCTGCTGTCTGGATGGAGAAGACCAGCGTCTGGGGATGAGGGAGGCTGCAGAAACAGAAGGGTCCTTTTGGAGAGTTTAGTCCCCACACCTGTTCTGTGCATTCAGGCAAAGGCGGTCCCCCCGCTCCCCTATACTAGGGATTGAAGCCAGGACCCTACACATGCTAGGCAAGCACTCCATTACTGGATTACATCTCCAGCCCTTTTTAAAATTTCATTTTGAGTCAGGGTCTCACTAAGATACTCAAGCAGGCCTTAAACTAAAAGCTCTCCTGCCCTAGCCTCCTGAGCAGCTAGAATTACAAACAGGTCCCACTACACTCAGCGGGGACAATCATTTGACAAGAAATTGAAAACAGTGCTTTTCTGAGTTCCACGTGACAAACCTAGAAGGCTACAGGTATTCACAATCTAGACTCTTAAACAAACTTGTTGCGGGGTGAGGGCGTGAGTAGGAAGAATTCTAGAGATGGTATTTTTTGATCTCTGATAAATATCCCCTCCTAAAACAAAAAGGGAGGCTCAGACTAAGACTTGATTCTAACTCTAGGACTTCTTATTAGAAAGGCTCAGAATCTCCACATGGCAGTAACAACAGTCAAATCAAAAATCAATGAACCCTGCACCGGACGTGGTGGCGCATGCCTGTAATCCCAGCACCCGGGAGGCTGAGGCAGAAGGATTGTTGAGAGTTCAAGACCAGCCTGAGCTACAAAGTGAGTTCAAGGCCAGCCGGAACTGCATATTGAGACCTTGCAAATGTGGTGACGCACACCTGCAAGCCTGGGATTCAGGAAGCTGAGGCAGGGGGACTGCAAGTTTGAGCCAGCGTGGGCTACACACTGAATTCCAAGTGGGCTGGACTACACAGTAAGACCCTGTCTCAAATGAGCCTACATGATTTCCGACTTTGTCTTAGCATACAGGAAGAACCAGAGACCCCAGGCCCCTTAGGTACCTTCATTTTCTTTGCGTGAAGCTTCTCCTCCTTCAGGTGCTCACGAAGAATCTCTCGATGGTTCACTTCCTGCTCTTGTGCAAACTCGCAGAGTGTGTAGCTGCGGACAGAGTTATGCCGCTGGGCCATGCCCAGAGAGCTACCCCCCTGGCTGGGCACGCTGGTGAAACCCTGGCGCCGGGCGAAGTAGTACACCGTCACCTGGTCAAAGCGCACACTCTTTCTCCGAAGCTGCTTCTGCCGCTTCAGGATGGACGTGGCTAAGGAAGGAGACAGAGGTTATTAACCCAGAGATCTGCTTTTGGGGCCTCTTACCCATCCCGGCTCTAAACTTTTCACCTCCAAGGGTACTCCCTACACCTAGAGAACTTTCTACTATTTTCAAATCATAATGCACAGTTGGAAGGAGCGCCCCCTCCTTTGTGCTTCAGAGACGGGGGCCTCGCTATGTAGCCCAGGCCACCTGCGGACTCACAGTCCACCTGCCTCGGCTTCACGAGGGTTGTGGTTATGGGCATGCGCCACCACACTGCGCTGGAGGGCCTTGAACTTCAGCTGGTTCGTATCACTGCTTCCAGCTTGACTTCACCTAAACAGACGACCACAAAATCTATTTTTAGACAGCAGATGGGAAGAGGATTGCTAGGTGATCTTTCAGGATATAATAATCTGCAGCTTCCCTGGCCACATGTGGCAACTTAAGTTAATTAAAATTAAATACATTTTAAAAATCAGGTCCTTAGTTGCACTGAATATTCCAAAGCCCAAGAGCCACGTATGGCTAATGGCCACCACTGGCCCATGCAGATACAACAGATTTTATCCTAACACAAAATTCTACTGGACAGTATTAATCTACAGCACGGAATGGCAAACTTTTCCCCAAAAGGGCCAGGTAGTAAATATTTTAGGTTGCATATGTCATGAGAGCTCTGGCGAACTACTCCACTGTACTGCCATAGCGTGAAAGTAATGAGACAAGGGATTAAATTCCAATAAAACTTTATATATAAAATCAGGAAGTCGTCCACATTTGGTCCACGCGCAACCACTGATCCACAGTATCAGAAGTTCTTTTCAAGGACTAATTAAGCCATAAGAATTAAGAAATCCAACCAGGGGTGGTGGTGCATACCTGTACTTTAGGAGGCTGAGGCAGAAGGATCCCTTTGAGTTTGATGCTAGCCTAGGCTACACAGTGAGTTCAAGACCAGCATAAACTACACAATAAGACTCCATCTCCAAAAAACAACAACAAAAAACAAAAAGAATTTAAACACCCAGGGTGGGCGTGGTGGCACATGCCTGTAACCCCAGCAATGGGGAGGCTGAAGCAGGAGGTTTCCAAGTTCAATACCAGCCTGGACTACACAGTGAGACCCTATCTAAAATAAAATAAAAATGAATTAAGATATCTGCCAAGCATGGAGGCACGTGTCTATAATCCCAGCACTCAGAGGCTGCAGCAGGAGGATGCCCCAAGTTCAAGGCCAGGCTGGGTTACATAGAAAGAGCCTGTCTTAAAAAAAACCAAAACAAGGGGAAAAAAAAAAAAAAGAAAAGAATTAAGAAAGCTGAAGGTGCCCTGGCTGTCTAGGCAGTAAGCATTTATGTCCTGCTATAGCCACAATTTTCAGAAAATCCACGGAAATCTGCGAGGGGAAGGGCACAGTCCTGAATTCCCCCTCCTTTAATCTAATACAACCTATTCTGGGAACCCACAAGCCACAAACAAGCGGCATCAGCTCGGATGAATCAGACTTGAGTCTCGGTCACAGGAGCACCGAGGTCCTCTGAAGAGCAAGGGAAGCTCAGGGCAAACCCCCAAGCTGGCGGAAGCTGCCTGAGAGCAGCGCAGAGCTCGGTACTTGGGGAGTGAGGCGGGACTGGCTCGCTCACGTGTGAAGCTGGCAGTGGTAGGAGGGTTGAGGCTGTCGCAGCTGTCAGCACTGTCGCTGCTGGAGATCTCATCATCTGAGTTGGAGACTGACGAGCCCACATCCACATCATCAAACTTCCGCTTGAGACCCGGGCCCGCGAATGCATCCATTGGTTGCAAGGGTTTCCTCGGGAATCCGACCACGTTGGCCCCAAAGCACCTGCTCACCACCAGCTCGCCAGGTGCATTAGGATTCTGCCCAGGGGAAATCAGGAATCAGCATGCGCGTCCTGCGGCAGGACCCCCGCCCCAGGGTACACGCTTAGCTTTCTGTTTCAACCTAGACGGCACCTGACCTAGCACTGATGTCTGATTTCTCAAGACCAGGTCATTTCCCTCCAGCCAATGTTCTCCTACTTGCACTTCCTTCCAGCCCCTGCAGTCTCAGGCACTCTGCGAACGAGATGAGTGGCAGCAGTACCCCTTCCCAGCGGGAGCCTCTGCTTCCAGTCCGGCTGGGCTTAGGCTTCATTAGCCCAGGCTAAGCACTCCTCTCTCCTAATGGCAAAGGAGAGCTCTCCAAGGCGCCGGTGGGGGAGGGGCTGGGGACCAAAGGCAGAACAAGGTTCTGCCTACACTGAGACTAGACCCAATTATTCTTCCTTGTGATAATATAGCATGGCATTTCCCAAAGCGTGTCTTACTAAATACACTAACTCCATGGATATTAATAGTCTCCACATGGAAATATGCTGTTGTGTCAAAATAGTGTGGAAAACTGCTCATGGCTGGACACAGTGGCACACAACTGTCATTCCACCAACTTGGGAAGGTGAGGCAGGGAGTCATCAGTTCAAGGTCAACTTGGGCAATTCAATGAGACACTGTCTCAGAACAAATTTTAAGCCAGGTGAGGTGGTGCAGGCCTACAACCTCAGCACTCTGGGAGGATGAGGCAGCAATACTAGTTTAAGCCTAGCCTGGGCAACTTAGCAAGACCCAATCTCAAAATAAAAAATGAATAAAGGAGCCAGGCGTGGTGGTGCACGCATGTAATCCCAGCACTCAGGAGGCTGAGGCAGGAGGATCATTGCAAGTTCGAAACCAGTCTGGGCTACAAAGTGAGCTCAAGGCCAGCCTGAACTGCATAGTGCGATTCTTGTCTCAAAAAAGACAAAAAAAGAAAAAAGAAAAAAGGGCTGAGGATCTAGCTTAGTGTGAAGGCCCTGTGTTCAATCACCAATATTATCCCCCTCAAAAAAAAGAAGAAAAAGAAAACTGATCATGGTGGAAACAGTTTAGCAGCCTTTTTATATAGTAATGGATATGGCAAACGCCGGGAGAAAACATAGAATGCAGTGTTTCACAAACCTGCACAGCTCCCAAAGGATGCTAGGGGGCAGATCACCTTCAAAGCACACTTTGGGAAACACTGCTCTGGGCTCTCAGTTTTGAAGGACACAGGCAGTCAGGAAAACCCTTGACCTAGATCTTCACAAGTATAAAATGTCTCCCCAGCCTCCTAAAAAGGACAAACTTGCTACTAAAGAAAGGACCCAAAATTAGAATTTATGCTGCCTTCAAACCCAGACCCGGAGTGGAGGTGTAGCTCAGTGGTAAACACGCAAGGCCCTGGGTCCATCCCCAGCACCACCAAACAAAACACCAGAATCTTTTCCCAATCTCATACTGGTCTATCCTCACCCCCGTGCAAAGCAAATGTAGCTTTATACTCTGCCCTCTGGAAAGAAACCACAAGGAAAACAAATAGCAAGAGAAGAGGCGATTTATTCTGGTTATATCGCTATGGCAGCGAATGCTGTCAATATGCTTGCACATAACCAAGGAGTCTGAGAGTCCATTTCCCAGGTACAAATCTTTCTCCTTCTCTGACTTTGGAATTAAATTCCAGAAGGACATGACTCTGCTCTGAAGAAATGCTGTCAGAGCTGAGGCCATGTGTGATGAGGTAGGAAGATCCCTTGCTTTGCCTCAGCACTGCCAGAATCTCCCCAGACTATGATCTCACTGGTTGCTAATTATGCAGCAGGAATAACAGCACTGCCCAGACCGACAGGGCTGCATTACTGCAGAGCAGCTACCCAGAATATATACACTGTAGCGGCAACAGGGCGCCTGCTACAGAGCTACTTTCAGAGCTACTTTGAAGCAACTTGGACTAGCTGCACAGTCACCCAAACCTAATAAGTACAACCAAAAGTACTTTAGAGAAGTTACTCCCTAACCTATCCAGATCACATCAAAATTCTGCGTTCAAGTCACAAGATGTATGTAAGAAACCTCAACCATAATGGGTCTCAGACAAACACGTTCCTCAAATAAGTTTGGCCTGGGGGTGGCGGTGGTGGAGGAGGAATCTAGTTTTTGATAAGATTATAATTAAATTTTATTTTATTTTTGTCTTTTTTGAGACAGGGTCTCACTATGCAGTTCAGGCTGGCCTTGCGCTCACTTTGTAGCCCAGGCTGGTCTCGAACTTGCAACGATCCCCCTGCCTCAGCCTCCCAAGTGCTGGGATTATAGGCGTGCACCATCACGGCCGGCTATAATTAAATTTTAAAATATGCTCAAACTATCAATTCTGCTTTTCAGGTCAGAATTTGAGGTCATATTCTAGACTTTTGAATGGATTTTTACCTGGGTTTCAAGATTTACCTATAAATCAAAAAATTTCTCATTCCATTCTATAAGTGGGCACGGCTGTGGACAGACACACTTGTAATTAAGTACTTACATGGGTGCGATGAAAAAAACAGAACAATGTTGACTAGTGGATCTAATTTTTCCTTTCCACTTAATCAATACCTTATCAACCACAAGAGAAATCGGGCTGAGCTGAAAATCTGCTTTCTCAGAAAGGGCTTACTCCCCTTCAGTTTTAACTAAGCTTCAGATAATGGTAGCACTGGATAAACAGCCCTCTTCTTGGCCAGGAGCCTCGGGATTTATGAGAGGCAAATGCACACTCCTGCGCTCTCAGGTGTCTTCGGACTCCCGCAGCATGGCTTTCCTTTCACTATTTCTTATTAAGTCCCACATGGGTTTGATTCAAAATCACCTTTATTACTAAAACTCTCCACCATCTTAATGAGTTGCCCTCGAGAGTGCCATCTCTCTTTGGGTTACTTTCTGTGCACCAGAGCGCAGCAAGGATTTCTAGCTGCTTACTCCAATGTCGTGCTCCTTCATTTGGTACGCCTTCCCCACCTCTACAGGTTTCTGGACAACGATGGAGATAAGTAAGAAAGAAATAAAAAAGAAAAAGATATGAAACCTGGGACAAAAGTACTTTCCTTAAACTGTGTGAGAATAATCAGAATCTCTCTGTGTAAACTACATGCATACTGACCTATGATCCAGCTATCTCATTAAACGGCTGGGAGAGTAGCTCAGTGTGTAGAGCACTTGCTCGGCATGTTCGAGGCCCTGGGTTCCATCCCCAGCACCGCGAAAATAAACAGAACTACTCCATTAACTAGGGAGGCACTCTGGAAAATCCTCAAGGAGACTCTACTGTGCTCGCTTTATTTGCTTTACCCAGGATCTGTTGGCATCACTTTCTGACATCAAATCCACTACTTCAATTTTTAAAATTCCATCTATCATGTACTGATAACCATTAAGATTTACACCTCAACCCATTTTTCCTTTTGTTAGCTCCCTGGTGTGAACGTGACTTATTAGATAAAAATGTTCACCATGGGCACCAAGAACAAACCTTCCATCCATTTCCACAGGGCCCTGGAAAAATCTTTCTTTGCAACAGTAACAACTAGAATAGGTTCCATACTTTCACCAAGTTAATCTTTCAGACTAGAACTAGAAATCAGTCATTCTCACCTCTCTCAAATACTCACTGGTAGAGGATAAATGCCTGTGTTCAAGATATACATTTATAAATTATAATGCAAGCACTTAAACCCATATGAAAATAATCAAGGTGAGACTGGAAATGTAGGTCATAACTGTCAGTTAACTGTCAAAATGACCAATCCAAGCAACAAATGCTATTGGACAAATAAATGCATCCCTCTATAAAAGCTTTTAAATGCCAATGAAATGAAAGGTTATCTGACACTCTCTAGCTTCCTTCCTGCCTTAGGGTCCTTCTTCAAGTGTTTGTTTCCCAAAGCTAGATGAAATAGTTCAGATTCACAAAATATAGAAGACATTAGGTTAGCACCAAATAAAACCAGCATGTGTATTTTAGTACTAGATAGAAGTTTTCTGAGGCCTCTAAGGACTCCTATAACCATCAAAACAAACCCAAAACCCTAGAATATGTGGGGCTGGCAAAAGGGACGTCTCAGGAAAAAATTTGGTGGAAGCAGAATGTACTTTCAAAGTTTAGATAATACAAACCTCATTCTTTTTTGTTCTTGGGACAGGGTTTCACTACGCAGTTCAGGCTACCCTTGAACTCACTACAGAGCCCAGGCAGGCTTTGAACTCAAAGCTATCCTCCTGCCTCAGCCTCGAGAGGGCTGGGCTTACAGGAGTGCGACACCACACCTGGCTAAGCCTCATTCTTAAAAGAGTCCAAAATACTAAGACAAGGTACATCCCACAGGAGAAAGCCTCCTTACCTAACTAAGTGGAGCCCAATCTTCCGCTAAAGGTCAAGGGACCTAGTACAAGATCAGGACTCCAACTGCACACACTTGAATTAACAGGGCAAAGGCTTGCCAAGTGTTACGCTAAACCTGAGTAAGATGGCCTGTCCCGTTTCTCCTTTTAACTGTGACTGCTTCTCAAATACTACGAATTTCATGGTTCCATGTGTCCTCGGGATCACTAGGATCACGAGCTTATAAAGTACTCAAGCGAAAACCTCCTGTAGGTATTTAAAGAAAGCTCTCTTCTCAGCCCCACTCTCCCGTTTTTACCCGTTCACTAGCACAAGGTTTCAATTTGGCTTTTCCACGTTTAAACTATCATCACAGAGACGGCACGAGCTCTTTGGGAGAACCGGAGCAGGATGCCGCACTACCTCTCAGGGAGACTGAGTCATTTAAAACTCTGGCACAATCCGGGTTTGGAGATTTACAGGACAGAAAACCGGTGAAGAAGGAAAATGTGAATCAACCATGGATTTACCGTCAACTGCAAGCCGCTGGACAAGGGGACAGTGTTGTCTCTCGGGGACAACTGCTAACCTTTCATACTGAAGAACGGTTTGTGTGTCACACTGCCACTCTAAACCCTTTTAAAATGATGAATCAAGACCACAGCACTAAAAGGGATGGATGGCAGTGGGCTGCGTATTTTGGGCCTGTGCAAAAAGATAAAAGCTAGCAAGCAGGGCAAAGGATGCTTTCATTTTCACACACAAGGCTAGAAAAATAGGAGACATTAGGAACCAAAGCTGAAGAGTCACGTCAAGTCACCAGTTCCCTTTAATGAACATGCCCGATGACCCCTGCAGCTCTCAACCCATTTCTGACTCCTGCTAACCTTCCCGCTCATTCCCGTCGTCCGCAGCCCCGACTGCGCCTTCCTCATTCCTTCTTCCTGCCTGCTACTCACGAATTCGCAAGCACTCCTCCCACATTTTCCTTTATTCCCTCTCCCCTTCCTTCACTTCCCTCCATCCTACACCGTTCTCCGCTCGATCCCGAACCTCCATCCTCATCCGCAATCCTGCCGGCTTGCACGCCGCCCATCTTCCCCCTCGAGCTGCCCCCACAGTCCGGGCCGCGTCCTCGCTGCCCCTCGCTCCCACGCCTCCTCCCGGCTCGGTTCCTTCCCAGCGGCGTCCCAGCTCCCCGCCCCCCGACCGCTCCCGTCCGAGCTCCCCTCTCTCTGACCCCTCCGTCCGCAGGGCTCTGGGCTTGACCACTCCTCCACAGCCGCCCGAGGGCAGATCCCGAGAAAGCACGAGGCGGCACCCTCCGCCCCGCACCCCCAGGCCCATTACCGGCCCCGCCGCAGCTGCCTCCTCCCGTGATGGTCTCCGCCGCCCCCGCTGCCGCCGCCGCCCTAGCCCGGTGGAAGGAGGGAGGAGCGAGCGAG